GTACCCCCGGATCTCACTGGGTGCCACCGGGTACCCCTGGTCCCACCGCGTACCCCCGGATCTCACTGGGTCCCACTGGGTACCCCCGGGTCTCACTGGGTCCCACTGGGTACCCCCGGATCTCACTGGGTGCCACCGGGTACCCCCGGATCTCACTGGGTCCCACCGGGTACCCCTGGATCTCACTGGGTCCCACCGGGTACCCCTGGATCTCACTGGGTGCCACCGGGTACCCCTGGTTCCACCGGGTATCCCCGGATCTCACTGGGTGCCACCGGGTACCCTCGGATCTCACTGGGTCCTACCAAGGACCCCTGGTCCCACCGGATCTCACTGGGTCCCACCAGGTACCCCTGGTCCCACCACGTACCCCCGGATCTCACTGGGTCCCACCGGGTCCACCCCAGTCCCCCTACATCAGTGCACAGCCCAGCGCAGAGCCTCAGCACCGGCCCCCAGGGCAGGTCCCAGCCCAGCTGCCCCCCTGAGCCCCCATCGCCCCCGGGGTCCCCACAGGGCGGGGGGGCACCAGCACTGCAGGGACATCAGTACCATCTGGACACCAGGACCACCAGAGCACTGGGCCAGCGGCACCACGGGTCACCGGGACCACCAACACCACTGGGACCTCCATGGCACAGGGACCACCGGGACGATTGGCACCACCAGGGTTCCTGCTGTTTGGCGCTGCCTGAGGGTCTCAGCCCAGCCCCGGTGGTGCAGACCCCCATCCGTGCATTGAGCTGGGTATGGAGTTTATCCCGAGCACCCACTGGTCCCGCAGTGCCAGGCTGAGCCAGCGGTTCGGATTAATACAATAATAAGAGAGGCGAAGCTGATCAGGGCCCGTAATTACAGTTACGTATCGCAGGATCCGCTGCGCTCCGGGCGAGAGCGGGACCAGCGTGTGCCAGGCCCGGGCAGGCCTTCACCTCCCAGCAGACACGGCTGACGGGCCTTGGCTCTGCACTCCCAGCTCGTGTTCAGAAAATCATTAGTGTCATTAGAGCTCCTGGGTGGAGCATGGCCCCGGGCCAGGAGCGCTGCGGGCACTGCGAGGGAGCAGGAGCGGGAGTGGGGTCAGGCGGGGTGCAGTGGGGGGGGGGGGGGGGGGGGGGCCGTTGGGTGGGTGGGCTCGCGTCTCGGGGGAGCTGGGGAGGGCTGGGAGGTATTTTATTTGTGGGGCTTCTTGTAGGCACTGACTGTTTCAGTCTTGTTAATGACTTCATAAAACTCTCTGCCAAGTACAGATTAATGAGCAGCCAAGTCCTTACCCTCCTGTGGGAAGTGACAGTGCAGCCTGGTTACAGGGGCTGCTCTGGGGTACATCTCCCCAGCACAAGGCTGGGCAGCCCCTTCCCCTCCCAGCAGCTGCAGTGGCCTTCTGGGATACGGCCCCATCATCCCCCAAGTGCACAAGGGGAGCAGACCCTGCTGCAGCCAGGCCATGGCAGAGCCTCACAGGCAACACCTGCCACGACCATCAGCCCTCGAGGAGCAGCAGAAGGGGAGGGCAGGTGGGGACCAGAACACGTGGCGGGGGCTGTTTCCCTGCTCCTGCCCATCCTCCTGCTCCTCGGGGCTGTGATCAGGGGCCAGGACAAGGCCTGGATACAGGAGGGCACTAAATGCTGGCAGAGGCTGTCATGGAGCAGTCACGGGGCTGGTGGAGCCCCTGTCACCACCGGCAGGTTTGTCACATCCCCCGGGGTCCTTTGGAGTGAGTGGCCGCACCCCAGAGCAGGGACCAAATCGCAATTCCCTTCTGTGAGCACGAGTCAATGCCGGTACCTGCCTCACCCCACCACTGACGTCAGGGTGTCCCCACGCTGGGATTCCCATCTGGCTGGAGACCTGGCCCGGGGGTGCAGCAGGTGTGGGTGCAGGATGAATGTGGGAGCCGCTGTTTGTTGCCCAGAGTCAGCAGAAAGTACCTGTGAGTCCCTGCTGGCTGTGCCGTGCTCAGCGAGGGGAGAGGAATGAGCAGACAGGGTGTGATCGTGTTGCCACACCGAACAATGAGACATGAGAAAAAATGCAACAGCTGCTGCTACCTGGAAGACAGATGCTGAAAAAATAACGTGGGAAACTCCAAAGTGGGAAACTCCAAAGTTTACTGTGGAGATACAGCTCAAGCAGCTCCTGGTGGCTTTGGGACTTTGGCTCCACTCAGACACAAAAACATCCTTCTGTCTAGAGTAAAACAGGCCCTGAGCTGTGTCCATCTGCCCTCCCTCCACCAGCCAGAATGACTCTGGTCACACCTCTGACTGCAGCTCAGGGGGATTCACAGGGAGAGCCCTGCTCACACGCAGTGTAGAGCAGCTGGTCCCTTGGCTCTGGACCAGGGAATGGTCCATGGATCTGCAATATTGTCACCAGCCTCAGCCTGGGCTGGAGTGCACAAGCTGGAGGTCCCAGGGAGCTGAGCTGCTCAGTGCTGAGCTTGCTGGAGTGGGTCTCTTCATCCCCAGGCAGGGGCAGGAGGGCTGAGCCAGCCCTTGGAGACAGGACTGGTGTGATCACAAGCTGTTCAATACCTTCAGAGCAGAAAGGCCACGCTCAGCCAGCCTGGGGGGGGGGCTGGCAGCACATGGGGCTGTCATAGTGCCTGGGTGGCCTTGAGGACGAACAACTTCAGCAGGAACTGGTGGGAAGAGCTTCAACCATCATGCAAAGACCATCTAGTGCCAGACAGGTCCGTGATCCCCAAAGTGTAGCAGAGAGAACCTCCCTGCCCTACTCTGCCTGGCCCTTCCGATGAGCAGGAGCTGCAGACTGGCTGTGTCAGCAGTGCTGATTCCCTGGGAATCAATGCCACGAGGGGATCTCCTCGGCACCAAAACGGGCAGAGCGGGTCTGTGCTCCAGCACAGCCCTCACTGGTGGTGACAGCTCATGAAGCATCGATGTCACAGGGCTGGGAGCTTGCCTGGCCCCGGGTCTGGCTTCACCGCTCCAGTCTGGAGCCCAGAGAAGGACAGCACGGGTCACTCCCCTTTGTCCTCCCCTGTGCACTGCTGCCTCCATCGCTGCCTCCTCCCCTCCGCAGTGGCCGGGCCGTGCTGCCCCTGCGTCAGCGTGGGCAGGAGGGGATCAAACAGGGTGAGCATCACCCCCACCCCACAGCTCGGGCAGCCGAGGCTCGGCTCCCTGGCTGATGGCGACGAGCCCTGCGCCTGCCCAGAGGGAGTTTCCATTGCAAACACACACCACCGTCTCCTTTCTTGGTAACTGATCTGGGATTGCTTTTTTCCAGATAATATGGGGGAGGCCGTCAGGACATGTCCTGGCAGAAGATAGAAAACTGAGACAGAAACAAAGACATAGTTTGTCACTCCACACCTCGATATATTTGTTACCCATTTTGTGTTGTGCAGACTAACAGAGCAAACCCGTCAGCCTGGGCCCGCCATCCCTCACACACAGGAGACACCTTTCCCAGGGCTGCATCATTCAGCGGGTTCCCACTGAGCTGGGAATTGCTGTGGAAGGCACTGGGGAGAAGCTGGTCCACAGGGGAAACCTAATGACTCCTAATTAGCTCTTATTCATGACACTAAAAGCGCAATTAAGTGCTATTCTTTGAGGCAAATGCAACACACTGACCGTTGCTGTTTTGCACCACTCTGGGCACCCCAGCAGGTAATATCACCTCCCCTCCCATGCGAGGAGCGCAGCTCGTCCCTCCCCCCTGCAGCACACAGGCAGAGATAGCATCTCCGGCGTGCTTCTTGCAGGAGCAGACTCCGATACCATCTCCCGAAAATTACGACGTTCCCTTTTTCTTTTATCTCAAGGGAATTTGTTGTGGGTGAGTGTTTTAGGAGAGCCTGGGAGACTGAATTCTTCTGCTAACATGAAATAGCCGAAGGAGCGGCTGCTCCTCCGTTTCCTGATGCCCCGTCACAGCCGGCTCAGGGGAGCTCTGTGCTGAGAGTTCCTGATGTCAGAGTGGGGCTGGTTTGGGATTGTTGTTCACGAGCTCGGTCAGGGGCCTTGGCAGCAGCTGACCAGCAACGACTTTGACCAGAAAAGTCCAGAAAAAGCTGACATTGCAGGACAAGCTCCACATTTCCTCTTTGACTCCTCTGCCAC